GACGCGGGCGCTCGGGCCGCGCGGACCCGCCCCCGGAAGCCCCGCCTCCCCGGAGAGCCCGCCCCACCGCCTCCAGGACGCCACGTTGCCCTGACGACGCCGGGCTGCCCAATGGGAACGCGGGACACGCCCCCTCCCGCTCTTCGTCCCGGCCCCGCCTGTGAGTTCCTCCATTTCATTGGTCATTGGCCTGGGAACTCCACCTACTCTCCGCCGTGAGCTCTAACCACGCCCCTGGGAGACCCGGCCTGGCCCCACCTCCACTGAGTTGACAGCGTGGGCGGGACCGGCAATAGGTGGGGCTCACACGTGGAGCTGGCCCGGAATTCTTGGAAATGGACCCAACGCCACCTGTTCTCACTAGACGCCCTCAATAGCCTGTGCCGAGAGATTTAGAAGGCAGCTGCCTGTCCTGTCCAGGTGATGGGAAGACATTCATATTTGTTCTCATGTCCAAAAAAAGTGAACGTGGAAACTGTCGAGTTATATCAGTATCATATGTAAATAAAAATCTTGCTGAAGATTATTCTTAAACCGCTGCACCAGAACGTCCACAGAGAACTGCCGGAAATTCAAGCTGGATTCAGAAGAGGCCATGAAACGAGGAACGTCATTACTGATGTGAGTCAGATGGATCTTGGCTGAAAGCAGAGAATTCCAGAAAGATACTTAAGTGTATTTTGTTGGCTATGTAAAGATATTTGTCTGTATGGATTGTAACAAATAACATTAAGAAAAAAGAGAATCCCCGAATGCTTAATTGTGCTTATGCAAAGCCTATACCTAGACCAGAAGCTCCTGTCTAAACAAAACAAGGGAACACCGCATGGGTTAAAATCAGGAAAGGTGTGTGGCAGAATTATATCCTTCTCCATGTTCATTTATCACCTTTCCCTTTGGGTTAACAGTGCAACTCTTCATCTACTGGGACACCTGGTAAGAAGTTGTGCTGCCAGTCCAAAGGCAAGCGGTTCAAGTCCACCAGCTGCCAGTGAAGGGTCAGCTCTGAGTGGGTTCTGACTCAATGTCAGTCAGAAATGGCCTCATAAACATATGAAATCTCTACAAATTCTTCTGGGAACTAAAGAATTGATACGTTTCAATTGTGGCATTGGTGAGGAATATTAAACAGTAGATTAAACAGACTGCCGGAAGAACAAACCTTCCTTGGTAGCATTGAAGCCAGAATCCCCTTGAAAATTAAGATAGCAAGATTTCTTCTCAAATACTTTGTCAGGTTTTCAGGAAGTGCTAGTCCTCGGAGAAGGATGTTGTTGATTGCTGTCAAGTTGAGCACGACTAATAGCAACCCTATGAACAAAGGCTTGAAGCCTTTCTATAACTACTGTCATTTATCAAAGTTCATAGAGTTTCCATAGGCATATTATTTAGGAAGTGGATGCCACTCCTGCTTCCAAACTTGTCTTAAACTGGGACCTCCACCAAACACTGTTCACCATGGTAACCATTATGGAATCTGACATCCCAATGGCACAAGGTTCAGCATCACTGCAACTCCAGGTGACCTCAGTACAGCATATTGACAAAAGAGTGCTGTACCACTTAGAAGGATGTTCTTCCAAAATATAACAACCGACTTTTAAATGCAACCGTTGACTCGAAACAAGAGGCTTAAATAAAAAACCAACCAATATAGTATGTTGTTGTTATGTGCTGTTAGTCACCTGCGATGTATAGCAACCCTGTGTACAGCAGCTCTGAACCCTTCCCTGTCCTGAGCCAGTCTCACTGATTCCATCACACCAACCCCCATTGCCCCAGATACTGTATCAACCCATCGCATTCGGGATCTTCCTCTCCTGTGCTGTCCCTCCACCCTTCTGAGCATGATGTCCTTCTCCAAGGATCCATCTCGTCTAGCCACATGCCCAAAATATAATGCTTGATAAAATACAGTCAGCAAAGAGAGAGACTCTCAGGAGACAGATTGATGCAGTTGCTGCCTCTGTGAGTTCAAACATGCCTTGTTCTTGTTGTTATGTGCCATCGAGTCGCTTGTGTCTCATAGCAACCCTATGTACAAGAGCTCTAAACCCTGCTCTATCCTGTGGCAAACTCACTGTCTCTGACATGCCTACTCCCATTACCCGAATCACTGAATTGATCCATCTCATCAAAGGTCTTCTTTTCCTGCGTTGCCCCTCCACCCTCCCAAGCATGACGACCCTCTGCAAGGACTGGTCCCTCCTTGCAACATGTCCAAAGTATGTCAGATGAAGCATCCAATCCTTGCCTCCAAGGAGCAGCCTGGCTGGCTTCACCCTCTCCAGGACAAACCTGTTTGTTCTCCTAGCAGTTCATGGGATAGTCAACACTCTTCTCGAGCACCACAGCTCAAGGGCATCAATTCTCTTTCTACCATCCCTAGTCACTGTCCAGCTCTCTGACGCATAGCACGTAATTGCGAAGACAACAGCTGTGAGTGAGTGGATACTGTGCGCACATATGTGAGGGAGACCTGTGAATACAACCATTATCCCAATAAACACACCAACCACTAAAGCGAAGGGTGTATGGAGAGCTACATGGGGGGCGGGGCGGGGCGGAGAAAAGGTGGGTCCCTGTGGGTGCGAGGGGCGGGGCAGGAAGGAGAAAGGGTGGATCTCTATTGGTGGGGGGAGGGGTTGGGCAGAGAAAGGGTCGGTCATTCTGGGGAGGGGGCGGGGCTGGAAGCTGGACGGGCGTCTGCATGAGCGGCTGGGAGGGTGTTGGAGGAAGAAGGGCGTGCCCAATGGGGTGGGACTGACGCATGAAGGGTGAACCCCCAAGGAAAGGGGGGGCAGATCACAGGTATAAAGGCACCTAGTGTGGCACGCACAGGACAGGACCAAAGGGTGGATGGGAGAACCCCAGGGGAAAGACACTGGAAGGGATGACTGAGGTGGGTCTTTAACATTCTTACAAAGAGATGAAGGGAGGAGGGAGGGGGCGATCTCGGTACCACTTGGACGGAAGTGCCAGGAGCTGAGCTCACTCCTTAGACCTTCGTCTCTGCGTTGGGGGCTCCTGCTCCTGCAGCAGCTGATGCAGACGGAACGTCTTCCCCAGCGCAGCGCCCTGAGTGTAAACTCCAGCCTTTTACACCGTAAGAGAATCTATTTCTATTTTTTAATTGCTGGAAATATGTGCTACTAACAGCAGCACTAGGGGACAAGGCAGCTGGGGCTGTGTCACCGTGACCAGGAAGCAATGGGGCTCTGTCCGCGTGCTGGACGAAGCACATACTGATGAATGGCTCTCACATCTGTGGGGGGGGGGGTCATGATCACACTTAGTGTTGCATACTGGGGTGGTCCCAGTTGGTCCACAAGTGGGGAGACCAGTTGTAGTTACTTAGGGTTCACCAGGGATGCCTGGGGTCAGGGGTTCACATGTGAGAGTTCACATTTGGGCAAGCCTCATGTAGGTCCCATATTTCAGAGTGCGCCTGGCTGGGAGACAATTTACACCGCAAGCACGTGAGGATTCTCCTGAGACCCGTTCGTGGGCATCCGTATACCCCAAGCACTGCACTGTTGTTAGATGGTTTGGGTCAGCTTGGACCCATAGTGACCACGTGCACCACCGAAACAGTCCCTGCCATGCACTGAACAGTGCCCTCCCCAATCCATGTATACAATGATATCATGTGAAACTTGCATGATCCTCCATGAGCCAGGAAACCAAGTAGTTGTAGCAAGATTAAACAGTGAAAAAAAGAAACATTTCTCTGTTAAAGCTACCTACTTGTGGTGTAACTTATAGCTGCACCAGATAAAACTAAGACAATATCGAAACCCAAAATCTCTGTAAATGTTCATTGTTGTTGTTGTTGTTGTTTGATGCCGTCAAGTCGTAGATACTCATAGCGACCCTATGAACGAACAGCCTGAGCACTGTTCCTACATAGAGTTTCCAGAGGCAAGCCATTTTGGAAGTGGATGCCGCTCCTGCTTCCAGGCTTGATTTAGTCGGGAAGCTCCAGCCAACACTGTCCATCATGGATGCCCGTTACCACGATTGGCACATCACTGTCACAGGCTTCAGCATCGCAGCAACCACGAGTTACCTCTGTACAGCAACGCACAGACCAGTGCTGTACCACCTGTTTCTGGGAAAGGGGATGGAGCAGCTTCACATCCAGCACAGGTGCTTAGTCATGTGATTCCTGTGATTAAATCGTGTCAGTAGCCATTCTGGGAAAGGAAGAAATGTTCACTAAAATTAATAAAATGTAATAAAAACAAAACCAAAAAAAATAAAAAACGTATTTTCTATTAATAAATCATCATTTGTACAGGGGAAAAAAACAACAACCAAAAAACCTCTAAGACAATATCATCCACTTTCTTGTTCTAATTGACCTTTATTGAACACTCTGCCAATACCAGGCCAAGATACATTCTCTCCGAGTGCTCATTAAATATTCTGCAAGATAGGCCGTATACCGGATCATTTTACGCACTTTAACAGCCAGACAAAATGGACGATACATACATAGGGAAAGTTCTTCTTTGACATCACAATGACGAAGTCAGGCACTCTGCATTTCACACAGTATTATTCTGATTATCTCAAGTTCAACAATAGGCAAAGCTTATCTGGTAATAACAGAATACTGGTTGCTCTGAGGGTGAGTATCGATTGGTAAAAAGAATGGACCTTTCATGTATGCTGGAAATTGTCCTAACTTGGTCTCAAAGTTGGAATCAAATGTCGAGGCAGAACCAA